CTTTTCACATGTACGGAGGCTTGATTATATTATGTTTTGCAATGATCAGCACTGTCCATCTACATATTAATCCACGACTGTTAACAGAAACTCAGTCCTCTCGAAGCAAAGCCCTCCTCTCTCCTCCCCCTCCCCCCCTAGTTGGTCCTTAGCCATCCTCGCAATTGGTGCTATGTTTGAGCTCAATGTTCCAGCTACTGTGTCAGCCCATTTCATTGAAGGCCTTCCTTGTTCTTGCTGACCCTCTACCAAGCATTATGTCTACTCCAGGCCCTCTTGATACCATGTCCAGGGTAGGTGAGATGGAGCCTCCCTGTCCTTGTTTCTAAGGAGTATTCTCGCTGTGTTTCTTGGAAGACAGAACTGCTTATTCTTCTGGAAGTCTAGGGTGGCGTAGCCCATAGGGAGTGGTGCTGCTAAACTCAAGGCCACGCCTCTCTGGCAGTGCAAACCCACAGCTGATCCTCAGGAGAAATAACGGGCCATCTCCTCCCGCACCATTCACAGCCTCAGAGAGCTGGCTGGAGAGGCAGCTAGGAGTTGGTTCTGACTCTATGGCAATGCGTATAAGTCAGTCAGGTAGTCTATGGGATGTTCCAAATTCTCTGTCAATACAGTAATTCAAGGGACATCAGTTTCCTTGGTCTTCCATATTCCTGGTCTAGCTTTTGCATATGCGTATATGGCACTGAAAATACCATGGACTGGGTTTAAGTGCACTTTGTTCCACAAAGTGACATCTTTGTGTTTTAATATCTGAAAGAAGTCTTCTGCAGCAGATTGTTCTATGAAATACGGAGCTTGATTTCCCACTGGAACTGACTGTTGATATTATTCAATGGAAATCTTTGATATCTTTAGTCTTTATCATGACATTTCTTACTGGTCTAGCAGAGAGGACTTTTATTTCCTTTACCTGGAGGTGTACTTTCTAATAATGTCTGTAGTTCTTCATCTTTATCAATAAGTGCCTCAAATCCTCTTTGCTTTCAGCAAGCAAGGCTGTGTGATCTGCACATCACAATGTGTTGATCAGTCTCCTTCCAATGCTGATGCTTAATTCTTCTTCATATAGTCTTCACTGCAGTATTTGCTCAACATACAGACAGAGTAAATAAAGTGCAAGTGTACAATCCTTCCAATACACCTTTCCTGATTTTAAACTACTCAGTATCACCTTATTCCATTCAAATGACTGTCTCTTGGTCTGTATGTCCAGGTTCTGTATTTGTTGTTGTTGTTGTAGGTGCCATTGAGGTGAGGTGAGCAGGAATCACAACGATCATATAAACAACCGCTCTCAACATTGCAAGGTCTGAATAAACACAATTAATGTTCTTTGCAATGTTATCAATAATTTGTTAGGATCTGGTCAATGGCTTTGTATAATCAATAAAATGTGGTAAACATTGTTCTGGTATTGTCCGCTTTCAGTCAGAATCCATCTGATAGCAGCAAGGTTATCTATTCCACATCCTCTTCTGAATCTGTCTTAAAATTCCTGACATTTAACTGCTGCTGAAAACCACTAGTCAGTTTTAGTCCCTTATCCATTAACCTCATCTATATCTGCTGTTAAGTACTATCCAGTTGGAACTGGCCCAGAGCTGACCCTCCAGTGCGTTTTCAGAGGTAGTAAATCGAAGGAGAAAGCCCAATTTTCTCCTTGTGAAGCAGCTAGTGGATTTAAGCCACGTGCCTTGAGGTTGGCAGTTGGCAGTGCAACTCCTAACCACTAAGCCACCAGTGCTTCCTATTCCATAGACCTAGCATCATAAATTTATGTCACTCAGCATGTTATCAACATTCATTCAGGATGTGGCAGGACCTCAGTTCTCTTTATGATTGAGAGACACTCTATTTTAAGCTGTTGTTGTTCTGTGCAGATAGTTGGGACAGATTCATAGTGGACACTCCAGTGGGCTTTCAGAGGCTATAAATCACACTTACAGATGCAGAGGGAGGGGAATGTTCAACTTTCTCCTCAGGACCAGCTCGTGGATTTGAACTGCCTGCCTTTGGATTGCCAATGTGTTCCTTACCACTGGGCCACCAGAGTATATGCCACATTCTGTTTAAGATAAGAATATATTTTCTTTTACGTGTAAAAGGTATAGGGAGGGATGCTTGGTAAACAGTTATTGTCCAGTACCTAGCAAAAGAACAGATTTTTGTTGCATTAATTTGGACTCACAGAGGTCCTGGAGGAAAACATGTCCCAGAGATTTCCAATGTTGACCTATACATTTTATGCTCCATAGAATATCCAAGGCTGTAAACCTTTTCTATTTTAAAGCATGGAACTCTTCAAGAATTTGTACATCATCCTTGCAGAGGGGCCAGCTAATCTTCTCTGTATCGTCCCAATTTCTAGGATATGTGCTGCCCAAGTGAGCACAAGGCTGTAATTCTTTAAGGAAGCAGATTGCCACCATTTTCTCTCAGAATGGCTGCTAGGTTTTGAACTCCAAATTTGCAGTCAGAAGCCAAGTTCTCAATCACTGCCTCACCAAGGCTTGTATACCATACTAAAACCCACGGCTAGGCAGTTAATTCTGCTTGTATACCATACTAAAACCCACGGCTAGGCAGTTAATTCTGACTCACAGTGACCCTCCATCGGACTTGCAAGCCTAGCAGGAGGACACTGCTCATCTTTCTCCTGCAGATGGTTGATGGAATTGAACTACCAACCTTTTAGAGAGCAGCACTACACATAAAAAGCATATTTACCAAATAAACTGAATGACTAGAGATATGATACAATTTTGGAATCTTTAGGTTTTGTTGTTTTAATTTAAGCACTTATCCAACTCATACACAATTACTTCAACAATATTCCAAAAAAGCAAACAATCAAAAATAGACATATAATTTGGAACTCAAGATGTGTTTCATTACAATCAAGTTCTGTACTACAGAATGTTACCTGTATACATAAATGTACAGATGTATATAGTAAACAGAAAGAACTGGCATTCATATATGCTTCCATATTTTGAAAAACTAGCAGTATAAAATCATGCAGTATTTCCCGGCTCTGTTTGCACAACAGTCTCCTGGCCCAGGTATAGGTTCTGCATTTGCACAATCAAGTGGCCTGGAATGCCCATTCTTCTCAATGTCAGCCACAACTTGTCATGATCCACACGGTCAAATGATTTTTCACAGTCAATAAAGCACAAATAGACATTCTTCTGGCATTCCTTATTTTCAGACAGAATCCACGTGACATCAGCAATGATATCCTGGTGCCATGGCCTCTTCTAAATCCTGCTTCAACTTCTTGCAGCTCCCTGTCCATGTACTGTTTTAGCTGTTTTTGATGTTGATCTTCAGCAGTATTTTCCTTGCATGTGATATTTTTTTCTAGATGTGATATTGATATTGTTCGATAGTTTCCACATTCAGTCGGATCACCTTTCTTGGGAATGGGAACAAATCTGGATCTCTTCCAATCTGTTGGCCAGACAGCTGTCTTCCGAATTTCCATAGACTGGTGAGTGCAGCCAAGGCAGCATCTGTTAACTGAAATAAGTCAACTGGTATCCCATCGACTCCTGGAGCCTTATGTTTTGATCTGAGAAGCTGAAGTCTATGAAGAGGAGTGTGGCATTAGGATTGGAGGGAGATTCATCAATAACGTGTTATATAGATGACACAATCTTGTTTGCTAAAAGTGAGGAGGACTTGAAGCACTTGTTGCAGAAGATCAAGGAATGCAGCCTTGGTATGTTTTGCATCTCAATGTCAAGAAAACAAACATTCTTACCACTGGACCAATAGGCAACATCATGATGGATGGAGAGGAGACTGAAACTGTCAAAAGCTTCATTTTGCTTAGATCCACAATTACCACCCTTGGTACCAGCAGTCAGGAAATAAAGTTAGAGACATCTCTAAATTACTGAGGAGTAATGATGTCTGTTTGAGGACTAAGGTGCATCTGATTGAGGCCATAGTCTTTCTGATCACTTGTTATGCATCTGAGAGCTGGACAATGAATAAAGATGAAGAACTGATGCCTTTGAACTGTGGTGCTGGAGAAGAGCACTGAACATCCCATGGACGGCCAAGAGAACAAACAGATGTATCTTGGAGAGGGTGCAGCCAGAGTCTCTTTTGAGGCAAGAATGATGAGGCTTCACCTCACATACTTTGGGCATGTTGCTAGGAGGGCCTATTCCTTGGAGAGGGAGCTGATGCTGGGAAGGGTGGAAGGTCAGTGAAGGAGAGGAAGACCCTTCACTAGGTGGACTGACATGGTACTGTCACAGTGGGATCTAGTGTGTCAGAAGTGTGAGGATGGTGCAGTAAAGAACAGGGTCTTCTGTTCACAGGGTTGCTATGAGTCATAAAAATAACAACAACAACAACAATAAGTAGTATGAAAAGAAAAATTCTATTACAACTTACTCATAACTATTATAACTAATAATGTTCACTTTTCAATGGCATTAAATACATTTGTATTATTTTTAAAATCCTGGTCAAGTTGGAAAATTTAAAGGCCTTTATATTTTAAATGTGCACACTGACTACTAAATTTTAGCTTATTTTGAGCAAAACCCCAGAAAGATTACTAAAGAACTAAGTCAAACAGATTCTTATCATTCTTATAAAATTACTTAATCATTGCATGTCCTACTAAAAACATTTAAATTTGTCAGTTATTCTTTATGTATTTTTGTGAAAAAGTTAAAAAAGTTATTTTTTTTTAAAGCGAGGGAATTCTGACATATACATCAAAGGTTTATTGTAATTTTTTTAAAAAAATTTGTTTGTTTTTACTGTAATTCTTAACAGAGTGGTTTCCAGTTAACTTTAAGGGGAAAACTGTAATCATCACACTGTAATGCCCCTCAGGGCAAATGTGCACAAATTCCTAATCCACACAGTGTTGTTATCCCATTAAATGCTAACTTTGTAGTTAATTTTTCATCATATTGTTATTACTAAATTCAGTTTATTCTAGCTTCAAATGAAAATGTAATACTCACTTCATCAGCCACAAACTCCTTACTGAGACCAAAATCTGTCAGCACCACATGGCCATTAGAATCAAGGAGAATATTCTCAAGCTTAATGTCACGGTATATAATCCCCAACTGCAAAAACAAATAAATACGTTTTAAGAAGAAAATTTTCAAAAAGTAAGTCAGTACATTTTTATATACCTTACAAAAATGAAGCATTCTCCTGTTCAGGACCCTGGGACATCTCAGTCACTGGCAGTGCCAGACTCCTTGGTCCCGGCACCCCTCAGTTCCCCTGACCACTCCAACTTTGTCCTCATCTCTATGGGGGTCTGCTTGTGTCAGACTAGCTTCTGCAGGGCCTCCCACCTGACTTTCCTGCGGACAGTTCAGCCCTCACTCCTGATGATCTCTGGGTGCCTTTTTAGCCCAGCCACGCCCATCAGTCCTGATGGCTTCTGAGGGTTTGTCTGACCTGATCCCAGGATGGCCATTTCCTTGTTTTCCAGCCTTCAGCACCTCTACTGTCACTGTCCAGACCAGGCCCACTGCCACTGAGCCAATTCCAACTTACAGCGACCTCATAGGGCAGAGAATGAGAACCCGAGAGGGTTTTTAAGGCTTCAACCTTTACGGAAGCTGACTGCTGCATCTTTTCCCATAAAGAAAACAGTGGGTTCAAAACTGTCAACCTTTTGGTCAGCAGCTAAACACTTAACCTCTGTGCTGTCACTGCACGTACTCAGAAATGCTTGGAATGTTCTAGGTATTTCCTGTTTGTCTACTCAGATTCCAATTCTCTTTTTCACTTTATATATCTATATCTATATCTATATCTATCAGGACCATCTAGGTCAGAGACTGCCCTACAGGGCTTCCAGGACTGAAAATCTCTATGGAATCAGACTGTCCCATCTCTCTTCTACAGAGCAGTTGGTTTTGAACCATTGACCTTTTGGTTAGTAGTCACACTCTTTTAACCACTGTGCCAGCAGTGTACCTGCTTAGTTGGAAGTAGTTGGTAAATGATTTATTCTTGGAAATCTTTCCCAAGAGGAAGTTCAAAAGAAAAGCACCGCTGGTTCCTGGAGGCTCTTACTTCCAGGTCAGCTGTCTCTTCAAGGAGACATCTAGATGTTTTCCTTCCTTTTTCTTATAAAACTATCTGATGGGAAAAAAATTACTTTCCGTTTTGTTTTCCTTTTGTTGCTTTTATTTAAGTTTTAGTAGACTGTCAAGAAACTGCTTTTTCATATACTTAATGAGGAGGAAAGCAGCCTGGGAGTTTTAAAGCATTTTGTTCAGACATCGTTAAAAACACAAACCATGTCATTCACATAGGTCAGAAAATGTCTTCATGGACTTGGGTAGATTTTCTGATGTCACTGAAGAGTTGATGCATTACTTTAAAACTTACATGAAAACAAAGTAAAGGAATATATATATATATTTTACGTAATGGGGTTAGTACTTTATTTAGATCTAAAAATTAACTAAAAGTAATTTCTGTTCTTCATTCTTTATATTTAGGAGCCTGTTATTCACGTACCTTTATCATTTACCTGTTTAGCACATGTAATTATGCTAGACACAGATATTAGTAAAAATTATATATATA